TCTCAACAATGAAAACAATTTGAAAGAACCCGAGTCGAACCGCTAGAACTACTGGTCTTAGAACCAGAAAAAAAATAGTTTTCTTTGTTCACTTGAACAGAATTCCAATCCGAACTCAAACATGGATTGGTTTTTGTTCGACACAAATTTGAGAACCAGATTTTATTATCATGTCTGTCATAAGAAAAAAAAAACGAAAAAAAAAAGAGTTTTTTTTATTGAACGTGTTCATTCATTTTCACTACTTTAGCCTATTTTCTCATAGTCATTTCGACTCCACCTTCCCGGAGTTCATTCTCCGGGGAACTCCATTTAACTTATTCTGGTGTATTCGTTCCAATCTACTTCTTTTCTGATTTCATTGGAAATCATATAAGACACTTTCTATTTGATATAGCTATTTGGGCTAGTATTTTACGATTAAGAAGCAACTGTCTTTTGTATAGATCATGTACTAATTTACTATAACTAGAGGATATTCCTCGTTCTCGAATTAATGCGTTTATTCGAGTGATCCACAAACGACGAAAATTTCTTTTTTGCTTATTCTTGTCCCGATGAGCCGAAACCAAAGCTCGTATTTTCTGTTGAGTAATAGTTCGAGTCAGTCTTGAATGAGCCCCTCGAAAGCTTGAGGCAAAGAAACGAATTTTTGTTCTGCGTCTCCGAGCTATATATCCGCGTTTAATTCTGGTCATTACATAAATAAAACTTTGACAAATAACTAATTGATTTCTTTTCTTTCAGTTATTCTTTTCCACGCCCTGGTCTATTAATAACCAAACGGATTTTTCCAATGTATAAAATCAAAATCCCAATGGCTTTGGCTACTATAACCTTCCAGACCACGATTTTTTAGGTATTTACTACTGCGAAATACGAAAGAAATAAGGAACTATCCTTTGATAGGTTTCAAAATAGAGTCAATAAAAAAGAACTAGAAATAGTGGGTTCCATCGTTTCTATGGTTACTTCTTAAACGGTGAGGTCTTCTCTATACATCGGAGCCTTTACTTCATTTAATCAATTAATCAATGTTATTGCGAACTTGTATAGTTCATACCACACTCTTCGGCTCTACCCACGAATTATCCAGTAACAGGCCTTTCACAATCAGACCGACCTATACAGTAACGATATTTAATTAGGAAAGTTAGCTGGGGTAGCTGACCTTCGTAGTCCGTTCTTGACCGAGTGCAAACCTCAGTTTTATGTTTTTTTTTTGTTTTTGAATTTCAATAAGATTTCCTCCGCTTAATGGATAAGCGTTTGCTATCAATGGAGAATTTCTTCTTATCTGAAATTCCGGTGATTGGATTTGCACCAACGGAAACCATAAACTTTAGACACAATAGAGGAATCGATTTGCTTATTTTTCGATAGTGAATAGAGTTCTTTCCTCTATTCTATCCTATTTACTGGTATTGATCATTCATCCCAACATACCGAAAATCGGTTTTCTTTCTTTTTTTTTCGTCAGCTCATAATCGAAACGAGTCGCACATACACCCTAGTACATGTTCCTCGACGCTGAGGACAGCCCCGAAGAGCGGGGGATTTCGGGACATTTCGAATCGGCTGTCTTGTATTTCTAATAAGTTGTTTAATAGTAGGCATGTTGAATCATATACATAATGGGCAGGTTTAGATTAATCCTAACCGGGTGATTCTAAATTATTTGTATTTAAAAAAATATTAATAAAATAGTAAACCCGGAGATAAAATATCAAATCCCGGATTTTCACAAAATCCCTTTTTTTGTCATTGAACTGCTACAAAATCAATAATTCCATAAGCTTGGGCTTCTGTTGCTGACATAAAAACGTCTCTTTCCATGTCTTCAGATACAACCCATAATGGTTTGCCCGTCCTTTGTACATAAACCCTTGTGATGGTTTCGCGTAGTTTCAGCAGTTCTTCCGCTTCCAAGATAAATTCCCCCGTTTGCGCCTCATAAAAAGAACTAGCGGGTTGATGGATCATTACCCTGATGATAGAAGGGTTCTCTATCTGGTGTGATGAAACGAAGAGGAAATAAGGATAAAGAATAATAGGAAAAAAAGATCGAATTGAGCAACCGTACGGGCATCATCTTTTGTGCATTGCATACGGCTCTACAATCAAATTGACCCTTCAAATTCAAGAAATAGAAAAAAATCTATCAGCTCCAAGCCCTAGATGGGTAAATGATCAAAACGCCACCCTTCCTTTCGTAGGGGTTCAAAAATACTATGATGGCTCCGTTGCTTTCTATTTCAAAATATTTTTTTGTCTTTGATTGAGCAATCCCAAAGTTTCTTTTTAATCCAACCAAAAAAGGAAAAATCTTGTTTTTTTTTTTCGCACTCTTTTTTATAGAACATAAATATTGTTAAGAGCCCTTCGGTGTGAAAACAAAAAGGTTTGTAACGCTGAATTGGCTTCCCAATAAATAAGAGAAAATGGGAAATACCTTTTATTTCATACTAATCTCTCGATACATAATTGAATCTTTTGAAAAAAAAAACAATACAAAAATTTTCCATATCGAATTCGAAGTGCCATGCTATTATTACTTAATATTCATATGGCGAAGGCATAGTTTTCTTTTTTCTCTCAAATCAAAAACCTCATTGGCGCCAAGCGTGAGGGAATGCGAAACGTTTGGTAATTGCTCCCCCAACCAGGAGCAAAGATCCCATTGACGCGGCTAGTCCCATGCATATTGTATGGACCTCTGGGCGCACAAACTGCATAGTATCATAAATAGCTAATCCATCTATTACCCACCCGCCAGGGGAGTTTATAAACAAATAGAAATCTTTGGCAGCATTCTCAAGACTGAAATATACCATAAGACCAATAAGTTGATTCGAGATCTCGCTATCAACTTCTTGGCCTAAAAAAAGGAATCTTTCTTGATAAAGTCGGTTGAGTGGGGTAAAATTGCATCCCCTAGGAACCGTACATGCACCTTTTGATGCATACGGTTCAAAAAAAAGAATCAATGTATAAATTCTAGTCCTCTTTCCTTTTTCCTATTCTTTTTAATAGCAGGTTTTTTCGAACTTCTACCGAAAGGGTTTTTTTTCAATAACGACGAGTTTTGACTTAGTTTCTTTCTTAGAATAGAAAAAAGTTAATAAACTTATTGAATTAACTTCTCATTGATGTATTGTTTCATCGAGATTCAATCCAAATCACGATGGTGTTTTTCATGTCCTGAATGGGCCTATTTCATTTTTTTAGGTTTATGCTCTACTCCGGGTAAAGATCCGGCCGATTTCGATTTGCACATATAGGACAAATCTTCTCATCACCATTTCTTTTTGTTATGACTTTAGAAATAACAAACAGGAATCATTTATGATACACTAATTATAGATATGCTCCTAATTGGGTTTTTTCTAAACGGAGCCTGGATACTTCATTTTTTAGTCCAACAAGAGCCAACCATAAATCATTCTAATTGATAATAAAACTATGAATTCCTCCAAACAATGCATCGAATTGCACTTCACACTCCAATTTTTGGATGATTCAATTTCTCTTTTTTGGCGAAATAGAGGCGGGGACGAGAACGGGGAAATACCATATGACCCAATCTATTTGACAAGTCCCACTATACGTCAACCCAAGATGCATCGTCATCTCCAGGAATTCGGAAGGGTACTTTTGGAACACCAATAGGCATGAATTGAAAGAAAAAAGAACTAAATTTCACTTTGATGCGGAAACGTAATAATATGGTTTTATTGTCTCTATTTTCGAATATTGGCTTTATCATATTTTTTTATCCAAAGATTCAAAAATTCAGAAAGAAAGACAAAATCAATAAAGGAAAATTTTTACAAATAGGTTTTCCTAATGAGAAATTAAGGATAGACATATTTACTCATAGAAACTGGCATCAATCTCCCATTGCGTATTGGTACTTATCGAGTATAGAATAAATCTGCTTATCGTTGTTTCTACGAACAGAATTCTTCCATTATTAGGAACAGAAGTTAATAAATATTAACTTAACCCTTGTTAGTAAATAATCCACTGAAGAAGTGCAGTCTATAGGATAATCATAGTATTACAGTCTTTGCAATGCAATAAAGTTACGTAGTGTCTATTTTTCTTTGATAAGGGGGTATTTTCCATGGGTTTGCCTTGGTATCGTGTTCATACCGTTGTATTGAATGATCCCGGCCGGTTGCTTTCCGTTCATATAATGCATACAGCTCTGGTTGCTGGTTGGGCGGGTTCGATGGCTCTGTATGAATTAGCCGTTTTTGATCCTTCTGACCCTGTTCTTGATCCAATGTGGAGACAGGGTATGTTCGTTATACCCTTCATGACTCGTTTAGGAATAACCAATTCGTGGGGAGGTTGGAGTATCACAGGAGGGACTGTAACAAATCCGGGGATTTGGAGTTACGAGGGTGTAGCTGGGGCACATATTGTGTTTTCTGGCTTATGCTTTTTGGCAGCTATCTGGCATTGGGTCTATTGGGATCTAGAAATTTTTTGCGATGAACGTACAGGAAAACCTTCTTTGGATTTACCTAAGATCTTTGGAATTCATTTATTTCTCTCCGGGGTGGCTTGTTTTGGTTTTGGTGCATTTCATGTAACAGGCCTGTACGGTCCTGGAATCTGGGTGTCCGATCCTTATGGATTAACGGGAAAAGTACAACCTGTAAATCCGTTGTGGGGCGTGGAAGGTTTTGATCCTTTTGTTCCGGGAGGAATAGCTTCTCATCATATTGCAGCAGGTACATTGGGCATATTAGCGGGTCTATTCCATCTTAGCGTTCGACCGCCACAACGTCTATACAAAGGATTGCGCATGGGAAATATCGAAACCGTACTCTCCAGTAGTATCGCGGCTGTCTTTTTTGCAGCTTTTGTTGTTGCTGGAACTATGTGGTATGGTTCAGCAACTACCCCCATTGAATTATTTGGTCCTACTCGTTATCAATGGGATCAGGGTTACTTCCAGCAAGAGATCTATCGAAGAGTTAGCGTCGGGCTAGCAGAAAATCAAAGTTTATCAGAAGCCTGGTCGAAAATTCCTGAAAAATTAGCTTTTTACGATTATATTGGCAATAATCCGGCAAAAGGAGGATTATTCAGGGCGGGTTCGATGGATAACGGGGATGGAATAGCGGTTGGATGGTTAGGGCACCCTATTTTTAGGGATAAAGAAGGGCGTGAGCTTTTTGTACGTCGTATGCCTACTTTTTTCGAAACATTTCCAGTCGTTTTAGTAGATGGCGACGGAATTGTTAGAGCCGATGTCCCCTTTCGAAGAGCAGAATCGAAGTATAGTGTTGAACAGGTGGGTGTAACCGTTGAGTTCTATGGTGGCGAACTCAATGGAGTCACTTATAGTGATCCTGCTACCGTCAAGAAATATGCTAGACGTGCTCAATTGGGTGAAATTTTTGAATTAGATCGGGCGACTTTGAAATCCGATGGTGTTTTTCGTAGCAGTCCAAGGGGTTGGTTTACTTTTGGACATGCTTCGTTTGCTTTGCTTTTTTTTCTTCGGACACATTTGGCATGGTGCTAGAACTTTGTTCAGAGATGTTTTTGCTGGTATTGACCCAGATTTGGATGCTCAAGTAGAGTTTGGAGCATTTCAAAAAATTGGGGATCCAACTACAAGAAGACAGGCAGTTTGATACAAGACCGCTTTGGTATCTTTCGCCTCTATTTTTTTGGTTTTGCAAGGAATTTTCGATAGAGTATCGGAGTGAATTTGAATCGCTGCTTTTGAACTCTTGCTCTTTCGAGATGATTACCAAAAAGAATAAAAAAAAAAGAAAAAACAAACAGGTAGGGAAGCTATAATTGTAAATCACAATCGAATCTATGGAAGCTTTGGTTTATACATTCCTTTTAGTCTCGACTCTAGGAATAATTTTTTTTGCTATCTTTTTTCGAGAACCACCTAAAGTTCCAACTAAAAAGCTGAAATGATTTTTCATTATCTCAATTGAAGTAATGAGCCCCCCCGGGGGGGCTCATTACTTCAACTAGTCCCCATGTTCCTCGAATGGATCTCTTAGTTGTTGAGAAGGTTGCCCAAAAGCGGTATATAAGGCATACCCGGTAAAACTGACAAGTAAACCAGATATAAAGATGGCGACTAGGGTTGCTGTTTCCACTATGATTCTATCATTTCAAGATCCGTTAGGATTTCTCATAAGATTGTTTATTTACAACGGAATGGTATACAAAGTCAACAGATCTCAATGAATACAATAGAATTTATGGCTACACAAACTGTTGAGAACAGTTCTAGATCGGGCCCAAGACGAACTACTGTAGGGAGTTTATTAAAACCATTGAATTCGGAATATGGTAAAGTAGCTCCAGGTTGGGGAACGACCCCTTTGATGGGAGTCGCAATGGCTCTATTTGCGGTATTTCTATCTATTATTTTGGAGATTTATAATTCGTCTGTTTTATTGGATGGAATTTCAATGAATTAAATCTCTAAGAACCACAAAGTTTTCATTTTGGAACCAAAAACAATCAGTTAGAACTTGGATTTATGGCCTATTCTATTTTGGTAGTTCGATCGTGGAATTTCTTTCTTTCTGTATTTCCGGAATATGAGTGTGTGACTTGTTCTAATTGATTCTATTGATAGTACAGAGACTAGGTCTGTCACCTTGATAGAGATGGTTCTACTTCGTCGGATATTTCTTCAAGTATCTGGAACACAAACTATAATGAACTAGATTAAGAAATATTTGAACTATGATTCATACTTAATATTCGACCTCGTGTCCGGACACCAAAAAAATTTCAAACTGTTTGAAAAAAAGAAAAATCTTTCTTTTTTTAGTCTAATTCATGAAATATGTGATAGTCCAATGGCTCTTACTCAAGGAATCCTTGGCTTAGCTTATGATTTTTTATTGAATCATCGTGGTTCTAGTATGAATCTGAGGTTTTAATCAATCCATAGGGTCTTAACAAGAGAATTCCTATCAATTCAATAATAAAGAAAGGAAAAAGACACAGTAGAAACAAAAAAATGAAAGAAAAAGAAATAGGCAAAGAGAGGATTCAAGAGGCCTGTAAGGATTAAACAAATAAAATGGAGCCAACTTGATATTTTAGTATTATCACCGTAAAGAAGAGCTTTTGGATTTCTTTCGTGCATTTAGAAAAGATTGAATCGTAGATTAAGAAATTTCAAACTTTCTATTGCATAACTTTTTCTATTGCATAACTTTCTAGTCCATATCTGACTCTTTTTTTTTCTTTTGAATTTGGGTGTTTTTGTTTGAGCTGTACGAGATGAAAGTCTCATATACGGTTCTAAGAGGGGGATTTTGACCTATCTCAATAAAGTCTATGATTGGTTCGAAGAACGCCTCGAGATTCAGTCAATTGCGGATGATATAACTAGTAAATATGTTCCTCCCCATGTCAATATATTTTATTGTTTAGGGGGAATTACGCTTACTTGTTTTTTAGTACAAGTAGCTACGGGGTTTGCTATGACTTTTTACTATCGTCCGACTGTTACTGAAGCTTTTGCCTCTGTTCAATACATAATGACGGAAGCTAACTTTGGTTGGTTAATCCGATCAGTTCATCGATGGTCGGCAAGTATGATGGTCCTGATGATGATTCTACATGTTTTTCGTGTATATCTCACCGGTGGATTTAAAAAACCCCGCGAATTAACTTGGGTTACGGGTGTGGTTCTGGCAGTATTGACCGCATCTTTTGGCGTAACTGGTTATTCCTTGCCTCGGGACCAAATTGGTTATTGGGCAGTGAAAATTGTAACAGGTGTACCTGAGGCTATTCCTGGAATAGGATCACCTTTGGTAGAATTATTGCGCGGAAGTGCTAGTGTGGGACAATCCACCTTGACTCGTTTTTATAGTTTACACACTTTTGTATTGCCGCTTCTTACTGCTGTATTTATGTTAATGCACTTTCTAATGATACGTAAGCAAGGTATTTCTGGTCCTTTATAGAGAAGATATCTAATAGATATTTGGAATCAATCATTTATCACTTAGAGGAGAAATAATAGGATTTTATTGCTACAAGTATGGATTATTGAAAAGAATAAGACATGGATTTGGATGTTTCCCTTCAACGAATCAAAATACTATTGCGCAGTTGAAGAGAATTCTCCGAAGAGAAAATGGATTATGGGAGTGTGTGACTTGAACTATTGATTGATCTGTGTAGATAGATGTCTGCCGCATTGCAATTCACATCAAAATGTGTCTTTGTTCCAACCACCATGTAACCCTTAATACAGAAGATAGGCTGATTCGCTTAAAGAGAATCTTTTCTATGATCAGGTCCGAATCGTGTTGTACATGAGCAGGCTCCGTAAAATCTAGTATAGTTAAGTCAACTAGATAAAGATTCTGCTTTATCTAGTTCACTTACTGAATTTCCTACTTAAATACTTAAAATGCAATAGTGTGAAGATGCATTCATTTCCTCTGCATTGATATCATCGATAATACTATCGGAGTGAAAGAAGAGATCTAAAGAAAAATATAGGCTAGACTAAATTAGTAACAAGTAAACCTTTTCTATGTGTATCTCCAGCTATTTTTGAGATAACATAGTAATCGTAAAGTTTGAGACGACCCAGAAAGCACTTGATCATATCATGATCAACTTTGTAAGCCTACTTGGGTATTGAGTATTTACTTAGCTTAGAACCGAATTCTTTGTAATAGATAGTTTCCATTTGGAAAAAAGAGTCCAATTTTTCTTACATTGAATCATTCACATATGTGTAGATATATGCAACACATAGATTTTTTATGAATTCATTTGGTTCTGTTGAGTCTTGCTTGAGCCGGATGATAAAAAATTATCATGTCCGGTTCCTTCGGGGGATGCATCTCTAAGAATTCACCTATCCCAATAACAAAAAACCTGATTTGAATGATCCTGTATTAAGAGCTAAATTGGCTAAAGGTATGGGTCATAATTATTATGGAGAACCTGCATGGCCCAATGATCTTTTATATATTTTTCCGGTAGTAATTCTAGGTACTATTGCATGTAACGTAGGTTTAGCGGTTCTAGAACCATCAATGATTGGTGAACCGGCAGATCCATTTGCAACTCCTTTGGAAATATTACCGGAATGGTATTTCTTTCCCGTATTTCAAATACTTCGTACGGTGCCCAATAAATTATTGGGTGTTCTTTTAATGGTTTCAGTGCCTGCGGGATTATTAACGGTACCTTTTTTAGAGAATGTTAATAAGTTCCAAAATCCATTTCGTCGTCCAGTAGCGACAACCATCTTTTTGATTGGTACCGCAGTCGCTCTTTGGTTGGGTATTGGTGCAACATTACCCATTGATAAATCTCTAACTTTAGGTCTTTTTTAATTTGATTCAATTGTGAAATAACATGACGTGTGTATCTAGGGAATAATCGCTTCAAAGTGAATTATCCCTAGATACATCTATTCAATAAAATTCTGAATCTCTTTCGAATAGATGAATTGTACTACAGATTCAAAACCTATTTGAATCTTAATTCAAAATAGACGAAAAAGATTCAATAGATTTCAAACCTCTTTTTTGGTAAATCAATTGCGAAATGTTTTTCTACAATGCCTAATATCTTTTTTACATCGTCTAGGCAAAAATGTTCAATTTTCCTAAGCTCTTCTTGACTCTTATTCAAAAGGTCCGATAATGTATATATATTGGACCTTTTCAGGCAATTATAGACTCTGGGAGAAAATTCGGATTGATCAATAAAAATCGATTTTACTGCTATTTTTTTTTTGTTTTTTCTGAGTTTATTCAATTTATCGTGAAAAGAAAAAGGGGATAAAGGAACCATGTCTTGATTGTTCTCTAAAGGTACGTTTTCTTCTTCCTTTTTAAAAAGGAACTAAATAAATCAATTAAATTCCGAGAGGCTTCATGAAGTGCTTCTTTCGGGGTTAAACTCCCATTTGTCCATATTTCGAGAAAGAGTATTTCTTGTTTTTGATTCCCATTCCCATACGAATGAATACTATGATTCACATTTCGAACAGGCATGAATACAGCATCTATAGGATAACTTCCATCTTTCAAGTTATGCGGCATTTTTCGAAGATAGCCGCGATTTCTCTGGATTTTTAATCCAATACACAAACTAATTGGTTCTGTCAAGCTAGCTATATGTTGTGTATTGTCGACGATTTCTACATAAGGCGGTACGATGATATCTTGAGCAGTTACATATCCAGGACCCCTGACAGAAATATACGCGTCACAAGTTCCATATAGATTACTTCTCAATACAATTTCTTTCAAATTTATGAAAATTTCATGAATCGATTCTTGAATACCCATTATAGTACAGTATTCATGGGGGACATTCTCAGATTTTACACGTGTGATACATGTTCCTTCTATTTCTCCAAGCAAAGCTCTTCGAATCCCAATGCCGATTGTGTCGGCTTGTCCTTTCATAAGGGGAGATAGAATAAAGCGCCCATAATAAAGGCGTTTACTATCTGTTCTCGATTCAACACACTTCCAATGTAGTGTCCGAGTAGATACTGTTACTTTCTCTCGAACCATAGTATTATTATTTTATTTTATTGAATTATTTATTTCTCTTGTTTCTCTTGAAATTTATTCACTGTTCATTTCTACACACGTCTTTTTTTCGGGGGTCTACAGCCATTATGTGGCATAGGGGTTACATCTCGTATAAAAGTTAATAGTATACCACTTCGACAAATAGCTCGTAATGCCGCGTCTCTTCCGAGACCGGGGCCTTTTATCATGACTTCTGCTCGTTGCATACCTTGATCGACTACTGTACGAATAGCATTTGCTGCCGCTGTTTGGGCGGCAAAGGGTGTCCCTCTTCTCGTACCCTTCAATCCACAAGTACCGGCCGAGGACCAGGAGACTACCCGACCCCGTACATCTGTAACCGTTACAATTGTGTTATTGAAACTTGCTTGAACATGAATAACTCCCTTTGGGATTCTACGTGCACTCTTACGTGAACCAATACGTACATTCCTACGCGAACCGGTTCTCGGTATAGCTTTTGCCATATTGTATCATCTCATAAATATGAGTCAGAAATATATGGATATATCCATTTCATGTCAAAAGAGATTCTTTATTTGTATATTGAGTCCTTTAGCAAGTCGGATTATCCTTGTCTTTGTTTATGTCTCGGGTTGGAACAAATTAGTCTAATGCGACCCCGCCTGCGAATTAGTCGACATTTTTCACAAATTTTACGAACAGAAGCTCTTATTTTCATAGTTTTTATTCCTTATCTTATATCTTAATTCCGAATTTACTTTTTGGTAGAAAAGAAGTTTCTTGAAATTTTTCATCTAGAATCGTAGTGAATAAAAACCACCTAATCTTTCGAATCCTTGTTTCGGAGTCGATAAATTATACGTCCTCTGGTTGAATCATAACGACTTACTTCAATTTTGACTTTATCTCCCGGCAGTATCCGTATAAAACTACGTCGGATCTTCCCTGAAACATAACCTAGAACCAGATCTTCATTATCTAACCGAACCCGGAACATGCCATTGGGAAGTGATTCAGTAATTAAACCCTCATGAATCCATTTTTGTTCTTTCATTCCAGGTAAAGACCCCCTGAAGTATCAACTAATGGTGAAGAAAGGATATTAGGCAACTGATCCTCTTTCTTTTTTTTACAAATAGGAAGAGGTTTCGGATTCCATTTCGATAGTAAAAGGATTACCATACGGAACACAAAATTTCTCCGCCGATTCCTTGTAGTCGAGCCTCCCGGTCTGTCATTATGCCTCGAGAAGTAGAAAGAATTAGAATTCCCATCCCACCCAAAATTCTAGGAATTTGTTGAGAGTTGGAATAGATTCGTAGACCCGGTCGGCTAATCCGTTTTAAATTTAAAAATTTTCTATAGGGTCTTTTCCTATTTCTTCTATGTCCCAGGGTTAAAACCAAAAAATAGTTGTCTTTTTCTCTCTGTTTTCGGACGTTTTCGATAAAACCTTCTCGGAAAAGGATTTTAACAATATTTTTGGTAATATTAGTAGATGCTATGCGAACAACTCTTTTTCTATCCATATCGGCATTTCGTATCGAGGTTATTATCTCAGCAATAGTGTCTCTACCCATGATGAACTAAGATGATTGTTGCTTTCAAATTGGATATAATCAACATGTTTTTTTGTTTTTATTGGTTTCGAAGTATGAATTTTGCAAGGTGTATACGTGAGACACAATACTACGAATTAATTTCGTTATTAATTTATTTCTGTCAAATAAATCAAAGATATCACGATCTTATTTTATTTTATAATACCTCGGGAGCTAATGAAATTATTTTAGTAAAATTTAATTGTCTTAATTCCCGGGGAATTGCGCCAAAAATTCGAGTTCCCCTTGGATTTCCTTCTTGATCAATTACAACTGCAGCATTGTCATCATATCGTATTATCATACCGCTGTCACGTTTAAGTTCTTTACAGGTACGAACAATCACAGCTCTGACTACCTCGGATTTTTCTAGGAGCATATTTGGTACTGCTTCTTTGATCACGGCAACAATAACGTCACCAATATGAGCATATCGACGATTACTAGCTCCTATGATTCGAATACACATCAATTCTCGAGCTCCGCTGTTATCCGCTACATTCAAATGGGTCTGAGGTTGAATCATATCAAGTTTTTGCTCTATTCTTTCAATGCAAAAGATGAAAAAACTAAAAGAGATATTGGTTGTCCAAAAAAGAAACCTGCAATTTTGTTTCATTCCCAAAACTCATTTCTGTCGGTTCTACATTTTTAGACCGAAATAACAAATTGAGTTCGTATAGGCATTTTGGATGCGGCTATTAAAATAGCCCTTCTAGCAATAGTTTCACTTACTCCACCCATCTCATAGAGTATTTTCCCTGGTTTAACAACAGCTACCCAATATTCCGGGTATCCTTTCCCAGAACCCATACGTGTTTCAGCGGGTCTTACTGTAACTGGTTTGTCTGGAAATATACGCACCCATATTTTTCCACCACGGCGTGCATTTCGTGTCATTGCTCGTCGACCCGCTTCGATTTGTCTAGATGTGATCCAAGCGGGTTCAAGTGCCTGAAGAGCATATTTCCCGAAACAAATATGATTACCTCGATATGATATTCCCTTTATTCTTCCTCTATGTTGTTTACGGAATCTAGTTCTTTTGGGGTTATAGTTGATAGTTGGTTCGGAATTCCATCTCTACTACAGAACTGGACATGAGAGTTTCTTCTCATTCAGCTCCTCGCGAATAGAAAGGATTCAAAATTCAATTTCAATTAATTTGAACAGATATTCGCACATTTTCCTAAAATATTTTCAAAATCAAAATAATAATTTTTTCGAACCTTCTAATAAATCTTTAGTTTCTTTTGTCCTTCTACCAAGTCAAAGAAAAAAGCTTTCGCGGGCGAATATTTCCTTTTGTAATCTCTATATTCAGTCGTAGCGCTTCTTCGTGACTTCTCAGATTTCTTTTTGGTTCATTTCGCCATCCCTACTAGTGAATGAGTAAGATTTGTTTGTTCAATAAATTTTTTTTCGGTCACAGGTCTCATCGTTCCCACCGCTTCGTACTTAAATGGTTAGGTCAGAATTCTACAACGGAGCTCATAACACAATTTATTTTTGAGTCAACTTTCTTAGTCTTTATTGGCTCCAAGCCCTTAATTTTCTTCGTAAAAAACACTTTTTTCTTATATTATATTAAGAAGGATTCATTTAATATTTAATTATTAATCTATTTAGTATTGATGCTTTATTACACTGTCTTTTATGAGATGTTTCATAGACCTTACATATTGGAATTCTATATCCGAGATATTTTTTTCTCTCTTTCTCTCATCCTTCCATTTATCCGCCCCTTTCTTTTGGATTTTGCTTCAAACTGCGAATTTAAGTTTATTCAAAAAAATTTCAGTTGCTACAAGGATATGAACGATTTATCATATCTTGACTGGTTCTTTCGATCCAGATAATACGAAGTGATGAATTGGTTTTCATACTACCGGGTTTTTAACCCTAACCTTAAAAAAACCAACGAGTCACACACTAAGCATAGCAATTATATCACAAAGTCAATCTACTTTTTATTCAATCCTCTAGAATTAAGAATTAGTTTGATTGACCAGAAAAAGAATGAATTGGTTTCCTTTTTTTATTCAATCAATGCATAGAAGCGAAAAACAATTAAAATTTTCTTAGTCTTCTTCCTTGTCTATAAAAATCCAAATTTTGATGCCTAATATCCCATAAATAGTCCGAACTCTATAGGAACAATAATTAATTTTAGCTCGAATTGTTTGTAGCGGAACCCTACCCTCTCTGATCCATTCAACACGTGCGATTTCTTTTCCGTCGATACGCCCTGCAATTTGCACTTGAATTCCTTTTGTGTCTGCTTGTTCAGTTAATTCAACGGCTTTTTTCATTGCTTTTCGAAATGAAACTCTATTCTTTAATTGCCCGGCTATAAATTCTGCAAGAATATTAGGGTTTCCGTAAGGTTTTTCAATTCTTGTGATAGCAATATTAAGTTTTCGGTTCACGTAGTGAAATTTTTTTTGTAAATTTATCTGTAATTCTTCGATTCCTAGAGGTCGATTTTCAATCAATACTTTTGGGAATCCCATATAGATTATCACTTGGATCAAATCGATTCTTTTTTGAATCTCTATATGGGCAATTCCCTCGGCGCCGGAAGATATTTTCATATTCTTTTGGATATAATTTTTAATAAAATTTCTTATTTTTTGATCTTCTTGTAGACCTTCAGAATAATCTTTTGGTTGTGTAAACCAAACCGAATGATGACTTTGGGTTGTACCAAGCCTGAAACCAAGTGGGTTTATTTTTTGTCCCATACTACTCCACTACTATATACATCATGATATACCATAGTTTTCTTTTCCTATCTAGGTTTTTTAAAAAAATCTATCTCTTCATATTCATCTAAAGAGGTATCTTTCACTACAATAATTATATGACAGGTAGTTCTTTTTATCGCATAACTACGTCCCCGAGCTCGGGGCTTGAATTTCTTCACACTAGTACCTTCGTTAACCTCAGCTTTACTAATTAGTAAATTGGCTTCGTCGGAACCCATATTGGAACTAGCATTTGCTGCTGCAGAATAAACCAATTTCAAAATGGGATAACATGCTCTATAGGGCATGAGTTCCAGTATCATAAGTGTTTCTTCATAGGAACGCCCC